CACACCCACACCCACACCCACACCCACACCCACACCCACACCCACACCCACACAAACACAAACACAAACATATTTCTAATCGAAAGGTCATGCTATATATTCCAAAACAAAAGAAAACAACGTTTTCGGCTGCGAATATTTTACAATTTGAAGCGTGATACTAGGTTTCAGATTTCCGATTTCGTATCGCCGACCGACAACGTTTAATAGATGTATAAGTGTTATATTTGTTAAACCTTTGATAGTGCTAAAAATATTAATTTACTTATAATATTTTATCACAAATAATATCTAATAATATCTACATTTCTCTATTACTTAAAAAAATTTATCTTCACACGGGAAGATAACACCATTGGTAAGAATTCTTAGAAATATCACGTTTACACGATGGCGTCATGATCTCTACTACCAAACTCCCTTGCACACGTTCTTTTGTTCAGTAATGGTGGTTTTACTATTCTCATGAAGGAATACAAATTTGAAAAATATAGAAAAATCGCCTAGCATCTTGGTAGTGGGCCGAGTCAAATGACGCCATCATACAAACGTCCTATCGCGTGAAATAGAAAAAATCCACTGAAATCGTATGGTATCGATAATTCTAAGTTGATCAGCAAACCCGTGACCAAGAAATCCCTTGACATATAAATAGCAATGAAACAGCCGCCATCTTGGTTGATCTAACCAGAGAAGCTTAATGAGCAATGCTTTGGATAGTTCACCAACATGATGCCTATGACGTAACATGCACCTCTGCATGCATCCCAAGAATAGTACATGGCCGCTTGGAGATACGGATTTTATCTTCTCAAGTTGAGAATATCTTACTCATTCCGTGCACGTGCGCTCACCCGTAAAATATTACCTTAACACTCGAAGATATAATCCGTATCCCCAAGCGACCATGTAATACCCTCTATTAAACAAAACATCTACCGAAAAATACCGCATTGATTATAATATATATAATCAATAGGCGAGAAATGTTAGTTATCTTCATTAAAAACGTGCGCGTAAATAATGTATTGCAAAGATTAAGAAAAAACTGAGAGCCAATCAAACAATGAGAAACAAATATTTCTGTAGATATATTATTAAGAGACAAATGTTTTCGTCCAATTAATTTTATCCTGAATTTATTTCAAAATTGAAGTCGGAAAATTATTTTTGGAAGAACTTAAGGATTTCGGTGAAATTATTAGAAACTGCATATGTAAGTTCAAGGCAAAAATCGACGGAAAAACAGAAAGAGACACATTAACCTGTTCGAGTGCAGATCTTTGAATTTTACATTGTTAAAGTTGTAAATTCTTTAATTTAGCGTTCGTATTTAAGATTACTTTGACCATTAAACAAAGCTAACCTTAAGTAAATGAATTTGTCATTAAAAACCGCGCCATTTTACGAATTCGTAAAAAACGTTTATCAGGAGCTGCATAAAGAGTTCGTTGTTCTTAAACCATCACTTCAAAAATTCCCCGCCTTCAATTCAATAAATCAATTTTCTGGCCACACACAAAGCTTTAAATCGAGGTTAGAAGGTATAATTATTCAAAATTAGGGTTGTAGCCTCGGTTGCAACTTTTTTTGTTTTGTTTGCGTTTTTTCCAGCGAACCGAAGCTTGATAAGGGGCGAATAAATAGGACGTTTACATAATGGCGTCATTGACCTCTACTACAAGACTCCTTTGCACGCTTCCTTTTGATCAGTTATTTAGCAGTTATTTTGTCTAACTATATTCTCACGAGGGAATGCAAATTTAAATAAGAATAAAAATACGCGAAGCATTATGGTAGTGGGAGTGAAATGACGCCATCATGTTCTTTTAGGGTTGTCGTAAATAAAGGTTTCCGTGTGGATTAGCGACATTTTCTACGTGAGAATCTTTATTCTTCCCACAAGGACTGTGTACTAGATAAGCCAAACTAATACTAGTATCGAATACATAAACATCCTTCAATGCTTTTAAATAACAATTATTGTGCGCATCACAGCCGAATGTATCCGGAGAAGCSGAGCAAGAAGCAACATTCTTGATGACATTACATCTAATACTTCCAGTTCTTTTCTTGACAAAGCTGCCCGTCCCAGGGATACACGTGATCCAATTATTGATATTAGACTTCACCATGAACTCACTGCCAATTGATGACCAAAGCAAGAAATCGATAGCATTGTAATCTGTTTCGCTTTGAGGAGCAGTATCAGATAGTATTGGTTACCTAGATGTTTGGGTCCGGGGGTAACAGCACTTGTGAATGAAGTAAACCTAGCATAATTAGTGAAAGTGTGCGACCAGACAAGTGTCCAGCCACCATTTTGTGTCTCCATGTCACAGTACACAGAGAAGGCTTTACTRCTATTCAGATCTATCCAATATCTACCAGAACTGTAATGTGGAAAATTGGTTTTTAAAAGCATGCACGTCTGGCCAGGAGAATTTGAGTCTAGTCTATTTTCTATAGAGTTGAAATAAAATACTCAGGTATCGCAATTCATGACTATTAAGTATGTTAATATCCTCACTAGTAGGATAGTCTTCTAGCACTTTTCGTATTCCTGCGTTCTCCAAAACTTTAAGTAGACCTATCTACCTGTCGTATGTAAATTGCCCATTTTAAACCATGCAATGTTTATATGATATTCTCTAGAGAATCCCCCCCCCCCATTGTTTTCATATCCACGTGAATAAGAAGGACATTTCAGTACATTTCAGTAAAGAAAAATAGCTTTTCCTGAAACTGTATTTAAATCTCTATCTTACTGCTACTTCTAATACTTCGCAAAGCCGTTAAAAACGATACAATAAGGTTATTAGATTCGTCATTTTAAATAGCAATTGTAAATAAGAAATAATAGCACATTCCAAATGGTAAACAAAACATATTATATGTACCTAGTGTCAAAGTTCAATTTTCCTCGATTTCTATTGGTCGAGAGTGTGTCACATGAACGTGGCGACCATTCTGGGAGGGGAATATTATGTTTTAGCATATACCAACTTGTGTACTTCCTAAGAACGCGCGCGCTCATTGGTTAATTGGAAGTGAATATTGTACGATATTCACCTCTGAATCTCGGAATATTGAGTCGGCAACATAATGGCATCTGCCGGCAATCGTTTTGCTACAATTTCCGATGAGGAAATTGAAAAAATGAAAGTAAATGCCAACCCTATCAATACTAAAAAGGAAACGAAGTATGACCTAAAMGTTTTGCTAAAAATTTTGCTAAAAGTTTTGCGTGAATTTGTCAAGCAAACTAAAAGTTTCTGTTTGTTTGTTTTTATTGAATTATTGTATATACTTAATTCAATAAAGTTAGCCAC